CATCAGACAGAAGACACAAAAGCTTAAACACATGTACTGACATGTTCAAGAAACTCTTCTTCCCCACTGTTATTAGACTTCTGAACAGACCACTAAAATTTCAAATCTAATGTTGATCTTGTTTCTCGTATACCTTATTAGCTGCCGTAACTTTGTATTCCTTGCTCTGTTCAATCACCCTATGATCTTTGTGTCTTTTGTTTGTTATGATCTGCTGTACTGCATTCAAAACAAAACTTTTCACTATGCTTAAGTATATGTGATGATAATAAATCAAATCAATTCAAATCAAATCATATCCTCTTCCCCCGTAGGACCAGCAGAAGAAGAGGCCAAGACACCAGACCCTGCCAGCCTGGTCTCTCCATGGTCCAGATATATCCACAGCAATAATGAAGGAAGAACAATGACCTCCACTGCTCTCATAAGGATAAGTGCCACCATTCACTTCTCATATGCTATCTCTGCTTCTGCACCTACCTCCCACCAAGGCTCATGGCCTACCATTGTCTCTGTTGCATGCAATTTCTTCCCTCACTCACTCTCATGCACCCAATCCCCCCACACACTTCTAACCCTGCCTGCTCTCTGTGCTGCTGACTCGCTCACTTGGGCCATCTCACCAACTATTCCCCACCTGCACCACATGACCAGCTGTACCACCCACTTTTGTCTCATTCACTTCCTCCCTTTCTCTCATTCTTGGTGAAAACTACCCTTGATGAGGCTGAGCTAGCCAGGATGGGTAGTAGGGTGTTCAACATCTAGCTCCACACCCTCCGCGACAGAGGATTCTGGTTCTTAGCAGCAATGACTGGGACCCTTGTGTATTGATGCTGAAACCAGCAACTGAATCAGAAACTTTGTCCAGTGTTGTGCTCCTCTCCCATTACTCACGTTGTGACTATTATTATCAAGCCAAAACTTCTACTGCTTGGTTGCAGTACATTCTCTCTCTTATTTCCTGCAGGTACCAGTGAGATTTCCATGGTGAAAAGTGTAATGCAGCAACACATTCCCTCCCTCATCTCTGAGGAGGAAGAGAGGATAGATGCCTCAGAGCATGCATCAGCAAGGCTGCCACCTGCAATCCCTCCACCAGTTCAGATACTGACAACTGGAGGGGCACTTCACTCGGTTAGAGCCAAGAGCACTTGCTGGTGAGCACATCCCTGTCATATTTCTACGGCTAATTGAGGAAGAAATGCCCCAGGTCGCTGGCACTCAGAACACTGCCAGATACCAAGCACCTGTTCAGCCCTAGGCAGGTGAGGACACGCTGGTGTCGGCAATTTGTGACTTCTTTGACAAGCACAAGGAGATACAGAAGCCGCAGATGCTGGGCGACCTGACAATGACTGCAACAATGCGATTGGCACTCTGCCTGAGATATCTGATTGCCTGGCTGCTTCCATGGACAGTTCGGTGATTGCCATGGAGAACGAGGTCCAGCAGTCTGAGAGTCTGCTAGATATTCACAGAGACCACACTCTATCACTGTGGCCATTGGTGCTCAGAAACAACAGCAAGACAATTAGGGTGAATCTTTACAGTTAGAAAAACATTGCTATTGCATCTCAGCCTTTCGTGGGTTTAATTTCTAATGTTGTATGATATGGACCCAGAGTTTCGACAGCTGCGGGCAGTGGCAGCAATGTAAACCAGGCACCAGCTGCTTTGGTGCTGTGGGTCTCGTGTCAAGTTTGGGCCCAGTTCGAGATCCTGGAGCTTCAGCGGCGGCTGCATTGCTGAGATCAGCCCAGCACAGACTTATGGCGCTGATAATGTCGATGGAGGCAAGAATGGCAACATGGTTTAAGCGACAACAGTGTGGTTCCAGGATATGGTTGGGCCCTAGTACTAGGAATTGAAGGCAGTGGAGTTCTGGCTGTGGTGGTGTTGGGGATTTAGGGAACCTGAATATTCGCAAACTGAGGGATGGACCTTGTGACTTTGTTTTTCTGGCAGGGAGGACTCATGGCGGAGGTGGGGGAGTGATCTGGACATTTCCTTTTCTTTTGGCTGTTTCTGTTATTTCTCCTTTTGTTTTTAATCCTGTTTTTTGTAAACTAAGATGGTGCTGGAGAATGGCAACTCTGTACACTTTCCACTGTGCTCCTGTATTCCTGTACTCGAGTATACATGACAATAAAAAAAAGTCTAAAACTAAATCTGTAGGGCTTCTCATCACTTGAAACTGAAACTCCCTCCCTCACAGAAGGGAACATTTACCCTCTATTCCAGATGTGGTGTCAGCTATTTTCAGCTCCATTGCTCATTTGTTATTTTCAGCATGATGGAAGGAAACAGTGATTGCTTCTCAATGAGAAAGGGTCAGACTCAGCCTCTTACTAATGCTGAACCCTTGAATGTTAGATGCTGGGAGGTTATTTCCCCTGTGGGACAGTCTTGAACCAGAGGGCATAATCTCTGAGAAAGGGGTTGTCCAGTTAGGACAGGGAGGAGAAGGATTTTTTTTCTTTCATAAGCTAGTGAATCTGTGGAATCCTTTACTACAGGGGGATGTAGAGGCTGGCTCACTAAGTATATACAAGGCTGAGAGACAGTAAAGGTTATGAGGAGAAGGCAGGAAAGTGGAGTTGAAAATGATCAGATCAGCCATGATCTCATTGAATGGCAGAGCAGGCTTGATGGGCTGAATGGCCTACTTCTGCTGCTATGTCTCTTTATGGTAAACATCCTCTTCCTGGTCGTCCCTTCAACCTCTCAGACCTTGAACTTCCCCATGTCCCTGTTAAACCCGTCTACCTAAATCTTCATCTGCACATTTACCCAGCAACACTAGACATGTCAAGTAAATATGCAGATCTAATTGTCTCCAAATATTGCCGGGTTGCTGCTTACAATCAATGGCCCTTTTCCTTTCAATGCTCATCATCTTCCCACTTATATATTGAATCCCTGTTGCCCATTGTATTCCCCTCTGCCTCCCAGTATTCTGACTCCAATCTTCACAGTTCAGTTCCACAGACTCCCTTCTGCAGCTTTAGCTCCTGTTGACCACCTCGCTTGATTTTTAGTGGATTGACCCCTTGGTCTGACCATGGCCTACACCCTTAAGTGACTTAAACAGACATCCTTGATCAATGGGTGACCAGACCCCTTGACTGATATTTTTATAGTTCCCGACTGTGCCCATGACTCCCTGAGTGGCTGCATTGGACTCACAGGGCTTACCATGGCCTACTCAGCAAACTGTAGGGGTCATGGTCATGATCTCAAGATCTTTACTGCCGCAAGTGGACCTTGACTTACTATACCACTGTCTCCAACTTGAAAGGTTCTGAGGAAGAGTCACCGGACCCAAAACGTTAACTCTGACTCTTTCTTCTCAGATGCTGTTTGACCTGCTGAACTTTTCCAGAAACTTCTGCTTTTGTTCCTGAAATGTTTCTCCCTCAACCTGACTGAGGACTAACCACCTTAGACTCTAACACAAGGGTTGTTTGTTTCATGCATATGCTGTGCGTTTGGCATGTACTGTGCTGGTACCTGTGCTGATGTAATAGTGACATAGCGTGCTGCCATATAGCAACATGTCCAGCCCTTGTTTGATCATTGCTGTAAACCATAAAAAGCTGCCTGACTTTGCGGCTGCAATAAAAGCGAAGGCAAAACAGGAATACTGTGAGCCTTTAAGCTCTGGCTGACAGGACAGACTGCGAACACTGAAGTAAATGCAAAGTGAGTGATCATTAAGAAAGCAAGTGAGCAGCCCTGAGATACAACCTGGTCCATTTTGTGACCTGGCTGTCTGTCTCTCTGTGAAAGTATCCTGGTAGCAGCATTGCAATGAGGTGTGCTGGTGTTCTGTAAAGTGCAGCATGAAAACTGTGGAAATATAGTATAAAAGAACTAGAAATGTGCGATGATAATGCAGAGAGGGCTGGTCAGTGACGGATGCAAACATCCACGGATGTGGGGTACAGGTAGTTGCTGCCCACGGACAATGCCGTGAAATATTGGTGACAGGTGCCCAAGGTGGAGGCCTAGATATTGTCTGGGAGACATCTGTGGTTAACCCACATAGAATTAATGTTCAAAAACATTAACATGTTAACTTCTGAAGTTAACTGCAATTAATTGACAACACAATATAATGTTAAAATGTGAAAGTTATTTAGATACTTATGTTCTAATATATGAAGGGTTGGTTTTTGTCTTGCATAGGTTTTGCCTGAAAATATTTGAGTGGAATTTAAACAATTAATAACAATATATAGAAATTGATTATCTTAGTAAGGTTTACAACTTGCTTTAATTGCTTAAAATAGCATTTGTCAGCTTTATGTTTTATTGACAAACTTTATTGATTTATCAGATTTTTGACTTTGTCTTGTCTCTGGTACATAAAATTCACATGTGCTGTTCAAATGGGAAATGGTTGTATTGATTTCCTTAACTTCAGTTGAAATGCTAAAGATTTTTGGATAAGCTTTCTCATTACTTAAGCCAAAATCAATGTGAAAGAGCCTTTTTTAATGAAAGAGCAGTCTGAACACCTACTACAGAAACAGACTCCTGTTCATCCTTTGCTTTAGGTATTGATCACCTTCGCTGTTTTACTGATGTCCAATTGGTTGGCATTGTGGTTCAGCTTTGTGTGTAAGCTTGCAGTTTCAGAAAAGAAAGGACTGATACAGAGACAACAAATGAAATCCTTTTCCTCCAACAGAAAAAAGGTGTTCTTTGTTGAGGTATAGTCCCTCAGAATGGCTTTAAGTTGTTCTGCATAATATTGTTAAATACAACCAACACAACAATGCGAGTAGCTGTGTGGAAGATACGCATAAGTTACTACAACAGCAATGAAGGAATGTCGATTGAATTTTCATTTATCAGTTGTGGACTTTCTAATTCGGGAGAGGAGGTCAAGATTCATAATTTGGTCTTTGCTTGCTGAAAGTACATTCACAGTAACATTAATATATTTTCTTAGATTATTGTGCTTATTTGAATATTTGCTGGATTCCTCGTAGCTTGAAGGAAAAGAACATGTGATTTATTCTCTGATTCATCAAAACAAGAAGATTGAAGCTCATTGTAGGACAGCAGAACAAAACGAACTAAATGTTGTTTGCAAGGCCCAACATAAGGTAATTTGCATAGCTTCCATTAACTACGCTGTACTACAAAAATGATCTAATTACTCAGTGGTTAATTAAGTGAAGTGGACTTATTGACATGTTTTTGGATACTAATATTGTGTTGCTGTCTTCTAAATTTATTAGTTTTAAGTTAATGGTCTATTCATGTAGATGTTGCAATTGCAAAATCTGCAAAGCTACACAGATTTGTATGTTTTTGACTCTTAACTGAAAAAAATTATTTGCATAATGCACAATGGATTGGGATATTCTGAATATCATGTTCAGCTCTAGGTTAATGCATTCTTTCTCTTATTTCAAACCACTGAAGGTGTTGGTAATTTATTTATAAAATTTCTGTACATAGAGGCCAGAAAGAAGTCAATATTTTTCAAGCCTTACTTATACTGTCATTAACGCACCACAATGGAATAATATGCATTTTGGTGTATTCTTTTTCATCTCCAGTTCCCTGTCAGTGCAACATCAGTCAAATCCAGGTTAACCTGTGTTTATGAAAGAAGTTGAACTGTACATTTTATTTAGATTTGCTTTAGTAATCTTACAAGGCTGAGTCATTAACATTTTCTTAATCAACCACAATTCATGGTAATACTTTGTTTATACCAAAGTGTATTAGAATCTGTGTTCTTGAAGCTAGTGAAATAAGGAGGTGTGAAGTATTAAAACTTTCAATGCTTGTTGTTGCTTGTAATTAATTGAGAATGTTTCAATTTGAAGTGATGAGCTGTTAGTGTTCAAATGAGAACCTATCTGAATCTTTATTTAAAATCAACTTTTTTTTTCATTTGGACTGTATTATAATCATTGTTGATTGTTTGATACTAATATTCATATTAGCATTAACAAACACATTACAAAAGGAATTAAGCTTTATATAGAGGTACTAGAATAATGCCTGTATTATATTTGAAATTACTTGGACACATGCTTTTCCAGAGCAAACTTCATTGAATGCCACATTTAACTTCCTGAAAGCTGATTAGTGGAATGAAAGCCTCTTCTCACTCTTCTGGTTGTAAGAATTCTATAAGGTGAGAGTTTGAGTTGTCTCAACATCCAGTTTCTGATAATGTACATCAATAATTAAGCCGCAACAGATTGAAATTAAGTTGTCAATCTTAATTAGGATAGTGAAGAATTTTGAAAAGATCCACTGAGGTGAATAGATTTCTGAAGTCAGATTAATGGGTACACTTCCTCCATTTAATATTCGTACTGAAATTGTCAATATTTGTAATATACACATTTGTAGTCTTTTGTTATAAATAGCAAATAAATTAATTTTGTTGTTTTGGTGCAAAATAAAGAGAAATAGCCTACCAGGGAGAAATCTCTTTACCAGATTATGGCAGTGTAGTGAGAAATTATTGCCATTTGTCTTCAGTATAGTTGCACTGTGAGGAAAATATTGTACTCTTCATTTTAAAAGTTCTCAACCTTTGTGTAATTAAACCCACTTCCAAAATGTAGAGCACTGCGTTTTACATTTTGGAGACATTATGCTGTGAATCTGGTATTGTTACATCCACTAGATGCGCACTATATCTGCACCGTTAAAAGACAAGGTTTTCAGTGAAGTCCTTTTTGGTGGAGACTCATCAATTTATCAAAATTTGAATTTGTGAATGGTGATCAGTCTTGGTATCTTGACGTTATTTAAACAGCTAATCAGGTTCTCTCCAAATTTTGCAGCAACATGGCTAATTTTGTCAGAATGTGGTCATTTTTTTTTGTCCAGAAACCATGTGGATTTCTCTAATTCTCAAGAACACGTAGAGTAAAGCCCATGTAGAGCTATTAAACAATCAGTTTTTTTTTGGTTTAAAAGAAAATGAAACTTTTCAAACAAAATGATTCCTGGACGAAAACTAAGACATGTAATTGTTTTTTGAGTTGAAATAATTGGCCACATGTTCTCACTGAGGAGGCTGACTAATTGATTATCTGGATTTGGTTTTGCCCCTGGGTAGTTGACATGTATGAATATCACAACTCTTTGTGTCTATTAATCCTTGAATTATTTCAGGAACGTCTCACTTAAAAGGCATCTGGAAGGGTCCATGAATAGGAAGGGTTTATAGGGATAGGGGCCAAATGCTGGCAAATGGGACTAGATCAGTTTAGGATAACTGGTCAGCATGGATGAGTTGGACTGAAGGATCTGTTTCTGTGCTGTGTAACTCTATTGTTCATGATTCTAAGTCCACAGCTTCCATTGCCTGGAGAGATTAGTGATCCAGGCTGCTGATGATTACACAAGGCTGAATGTGGCTTTCGTTGGCTGATGTTCAGTGTACATACAGTTCTATTAGCCAGCTCCCTGTTCTGTTCTTTCTGAGCATTTAATTTATTACATTCAACAATAATTCACAATGTATTTTTTTACAGTGGCAGGAGTACTACATAGGGTGTACTTCCATGTGTCTCAAACATAGTGAACACATAATCAGTTATAATATTGATGTGGAGGTGCCGGTGTTGTGTTGGGGTGGACGAAGTCAGGAGTCACACGACACCAGGTTATAGTCCAACAGATTTGTTTGAAATCACAATCTTTAGAGCGTAGCCCCTTTGTCAGTTGAAGTGAGAGAGAAGCACACAGAAGACAGAATTCATGCGCAGAGAGATCAAGGGCAGAGAGATCAAAAGATCATAGTGTGAGTGGAGTGTCGAATAATGAGTCTCTGCAAGCGATCAGAAGTGCTAGACAGTGTTAGTAAAGTGTCAACAGCTGAATAACAAGTGAAGGGATGATTTATAATCCGATTAAATGAGCACCTTCATTGTCCAGTACTTCTCCATAGCGGAGACACTACGCCGTGTTCTTCACAGCCTTCAACATGTCATCGATGACAGCCTTCAGGACAACATGAACCACACCATAGAAAATTGAAAATCATAGAATCCCGACAGTGTGGAAATAGGCCCTTTGGCCTAACAAGTTCACACTGACCCTCACAGCATCCCACCCAGATCTATCCCCCTATAACCCACCTAATCTACATTTCCCTGAACACTATGGGCAATTTAGCATGGCCAATCCATGTAACCTGCACATCTTTGGACTGTGGGAGGAAACTGGAGCACCTGGAGAAAACTCACGCAGACACGGGGAGAATGTGCAAACTCCATACAGACAGTCGCCCAAGGGTGGAAAAACCCGGAATCCTGGTGCTGTGAGGCAGCAGTGCTAACCACTGAGCCACCGTGCTGCCCTTAATCACACAATCCTCCCATGGCAACCTCTGCAAGACATGTCAGATCATCAACATGATACTACCATCACACATGGGAATACCACCCACTACATACGCGGCAGATACTGATGTGACTCAGCCAATGTTGTCTGTCTCATACACTGCAGGAATTGGTGCCCCGAGGCATGGTATATCGGCGAGACCATGCATATGCTACAACAATGGATGAGTGGACACTGCGCAACAATTAGTAGACAGGGATGTCCCCTCCCAGTCGGAGAACACTTCAGTGGTCAAGGACATTGAGCCTCCGATCTTTGGGTAAGTGTCCTCCAGGGTGACCTTCGAGATACACAACAACGCAGAATCACTGAGCAGAAACTGATATCCAAGTTCTGTACCCATGAAGATGGCCTCAACTGTGATCTTGGGTTCATGTCGTGCTACACGTGACTCCACCACACGTTTTGTATCTGTAAAATCTGCTGTGTTTTGACAACATCACCTTGATAAATTGTTATGATCTCTCTACCTTAATTAGCTTGTACAGTTTTGGATTACTTATTACTTTAGTTAGACCCTTATATCTATCATGTTATTCTAATCATTTGGTATCTCTCCAGGACCACCATATTTTTATTTTTTTGTGATTATCTCTCTGCTTCATTTAATTGGATTATAGGTCATGCCTTTGTTTTTTATTCAGCTGTTGACACTTTACTCACACCATGTGACACTTTTGATCATCTCTGGACTTATTATTTGGCACTCCACTTACACCATTTGGGTGGCCTTTTGATCTCTCTGCCCTTGATCTCACTCCCTATAAACTCTGTGTCTGTGTGCTTCTCTCTCACTTCACCTGACGAAGGGGCTACACTCCAAAAGCTTTGATTTCAAATAAACCTATTCGACTATAACCTGGTGTCGTGTGACTTCTGACTCAGTTTTAATATTATAACATGTAGGCAGTAGACAGTTGTGCAGTTACTTTCTTGTTGCGGAGTTACAGACTAGTAGTTTGAATTTTGTTGTTTGATTCCCCATTGTTCTATATTTTCATCTTCTTAACTTGTTGTTATCCCAAACAAAAATCTTTGCTCAGCAGGTATGGCAGCATCTGTTAAAGAGAACCAGAGTTAAGGCAGTAATCAGAGGCAATGGAGGTCACAACCAGTGAGAGACTCACATTGCTAACACTAGAGAACATCCCTGCAAACTACCTCCCAATCATGAATATCTGGGGGAAGGGCAGATGTTCCATCTAATGAGAGTTGCCCGCAAATCAAAGGCTGGAAATTCTTGCATTAAGGATCACCATACAGGAGGGCGTGGCTACTACTCCAAAAGCATTCTGACATTCAGAGTCCCAGAGGATCCAGGACAAAGGGAAGTAAAGGTAAGTAATATGGAGTGAGCAGACAGTGGGTTGTGGTCGGTCGGGGTTCTCAGGTTTGGTCATGGGAAGAAGAATTGACGGATGAGTCCCACCAAGTGTCTCTTAAGCCCAGTAACTAGTCCTTTGATCAGGCACTGAGGCCTTTGAGTGATCCAACTGCGAAGTTACAGACTTCCCAAAGGATAGCAGCTGTTGTGAACATTGCAAGGTGATAGACCTGCCTATTGCTCAGTTAATACCAAGCCAATGCCTTTAAGTGGTTCTTAGTTGCCAGTTAAAGAATTCATGTCACAATGGCTGAGATGGCTGATCACTGGCCTTCTCTCGTTGCCATGGATTCCTAGGACTGATGCTCTTTAGCTACTGAGGCTATGAATCCATGTGGCCAA